ATTTGATCGTTCTTATCGGGCGATCGGATTATTTAGTTGCAGAAGCAGTATACAGGTTGGTGCAAAAACTGTGAATTGATCTTTTTTTTATCATTATTTATAGTTTTTCATTTTTGATTTGTTTTTATTTCAGTTGCAATTATACATATTTTAATCTATAAATATAAGAGATATATGTACATATATTTATAAAAATTAGAACAATTAATTGATGATTTTATAAGTATATTATATAATTTTGTATTTAATATTTATTTACTCCCGCTGTAGCTGTTCATAGAAATATTTTTTGAATTTGTTTTTGTAGTTATCTTCATTGATATCTGAGAGTATCGTGGGGGGTATTTGGTTCATTAAAGTAGGAATTAAATATCTATTTGTACGTTTACCATAGTAGTTATATATTTTAGGTGTTACGAGTTTATTTTGTATAACTTTTCTTGTAATAGTTTTATGGTTAGTTTTATCTTGCACTTTTTTATTGTGAAATTGTTCTATTAGTATTAGCATCTGAAATTTCGTGTGTATAGGTAATACTTTGCAAAATTTAAATATTCCATTAATATTGTTTTCACTGTATATTTTTGTTTTTACTTTCTTAGGTATAATTATTTTCAATATTCTGATTTGTAGGTTATATATTTTATCTAAGTAAGTTTTAAATGTTTTTCCATAACTTGTAATGCCATAAGAAATAAGAGACTCAGCAAGAGCGTTATACAGATTTATAAGGATGGGAAATGGCATTTTGTATTTTAGTATTGCAAACTTTGCTAGCATAGCCCGTAGCTTGTTACATACATGCTCAACGTGTTTACCCCAATTGAATCTTTCATCCACAATCAGACCTAGGTATTTATAAGTGTTAACTTGTTCTAGAGGATTACAATTACAGTTAGTATTTACTTTAGACGAACTATGAAGGCAGTCGTGGCTGTGTGCTAGTATTTTTATTGGTCTTTCGTATTTGTTAGAGTGCATCGAGCGCACATGTATAATTTTAGTTTTAGCAGAATTTAATACGAGTCCCGCGTCATGTGACCACATACAAAGGTTAGTAAAGTCATGTTGTAACATTTTTTCTGCCTTTGCTATGTCTTTATTGGATATTACTAGGCAAGTATCGTCTGCATATTGATACACTGAACTATGTTTAATCACATTCCCCATATCATTTACAAAGGCCAGATAGTGTAAAGGGCCAAGAACCGATCCCTGAGCGGTTCCCGTAGTTACAGGTATTTCATCACTGTAATCATTTTCAATTCTCACTCGGTATTTTCTATCTTTGAGGTAATTTTCACACCACCTGAGTAAAGGCCCGCGTATGCCTGTATTTTCCAGTTTTTGTATTAATAAATCGTGTTTCAGAGTATCAAATGCTTTGCTGTAGTCAATAAATAAAAGAATTATGTGTTGTTTGTTGTCTAAATAAGTATTAATTTCATCGGTAAATTTCGATAACAAAGAAGTAGTTGAATTATTTTTTTGAAAGCCAAACTGGGTGCTGGACAGAACGTCATTCGATATATAATATTTATATATCTGACTACATATATATTTTTCAACTATTTTATCTATTACAGGAAGTATTGTAATTGGCCTATAATTATCATAATCACAGTGCGACCCCTTTTTGTAGATGGGTCTCACTATTCCTACCTTTAATTCTGAGGGATAAATACCAGAATGAACACTAGTATTAATCAACTTTGCAATTGCTGTTGTGATTTTTTCACATAAGGATTTTATGTCTATACAACGAATCTGGTCTGCTCCAGCGGATTTGTTTGTGTTCAATTTCTGGATTATTTTATTTATGCTCTTGCCATCTGCTGCTTTAAACCGCATTGAACTATTCTGAGGAAATATGTACTCTGCTTGATCTAAAAGGTTTTGTTTACAGTTGGGTAGTATTTTTTCAACATTTTTAACAAAATTTTTACCAAAATTATTTGCCAATTGTTTAGCTGTTAATTTGTTTTTTTGAAAAGCCTTTAATATCGCCGCATCTAATGATTTATTTACTCTGCCTGTGATGGAATTCAGAATATTCCATAGCTTCCTTGGGTTATTTCTGTTATTATTTATTTCGTAATAATAGTATTTGTTTCGAGACATTTCAATAAGTTTATGTGTTTTATTCCTAATTTTATTAAACTCTAGTCTTAGTATTTTATCAGTTGTATCTTTTTTCCACTTGTTATATAGGTAGTCTCTTTTTTCGCAGTAAAATTTTATCTTATTATTTATCCATCTTTCCTTATTTCTTTTACTATTTATGCTATTTTTTGTAGTATATTTAGAATTATTATAACAGTATTCAAAGCTATTTTGAATAAAGTTATATATCTCTATCGGACACTGCATATTATCAATCTTATTCCACTCGACGTTTTCGAGAAGTGATATTAATTTTTTGTTATTAATTAATTGTTTGAGTTTTGACTCAGCCTGTACGCTGCTGCTGGTAGCCTCAGTTCCGGCGCACGATAGCACGCACATGCGGTGATCTGCCAGTACTGTTCCAAGCGCAGCCGAGTAGATGTCAGACGTGCGCGATCTCGCGAATATGTGGTCAATACAACTCCGCGTGATTTGTTCATTTCGAATCTCTATTCTTGTAAAATCAGAAATCGCTCTCGTCAGACCACACTCGGCCAAGCAGCTTAAGTAGTAATCATGAATGTTATTTTTTAATTCCAGGTCAATATTTATGTCTCCGATTATGTACAAGTCAGAGTGTTTGATTAAATTGTGACATAGTAGTACTTTAAGTTCATTAATAAAGAGATGCTTGCTTTCATTAGGCGGTCGATATAATGCGCAAATGTGAGTCGTGTAGTGGTGGCAAGATTGGATGTTTACAATTAATGATTCACAGTGGGTTAATTTTAAGTTGTTTACTACTTCAAAACTGTGGCAATTTTTAATGTACATTATAATACCACCACCACGTCGCTGCTCACGAAGCTTACTGCACATTTCATAACCGTTTATAGAAAATAATTGAGAGAGATTACTACTTATTGAAATTCCTACTTCAGTTAGTATAATGACGTCTATAGCTATTGGTGATTGGTTTATTGTTTGCAGTAATGCACTAAAGTTTTTGATAATAGATCTAATATTTATATGTACAATATTAAAAAGATTAGTATGTTTAGGTAGATAGGTACTAAATTCACATAAATTTGCCGAATCATAAATTTCAGTTACTTCCAAAGTAGTGCCTAGTGCGTAAAGTTTCTACTATCGACTTACAATATGCTCCACCGCCATTTTGTCAATGTCACTTAGGTTTCGGATGATCACAGGCTTATCGTTATCATTTTTACGAACTAAAATTCTACCGCCCTGGAACCATATATATTTATAAGTAACCTTAAGTTTTTGCTTTGCTTGCCACAGAAGGGTTTTATTTGCACTGGATAGGGCACGTCGTATCATTATCTTTGTTCTTGCTATAGCAGGATCTGGACAGGAAACGATGTCCTCTGCAAGTATAGTTACTTTTCTTGCTGCTTTTATCCACTGGTCCACTTGTTCCTCCTGTTTGAAAGATACCTGGATCACGCCCTCCTTTCCATTTTTCCCCTTCAATCTTTTAACTGTACTTATTTCTTTTTTTACAATATTTAACTTCGTTGCTAGTGTATTTAGGATAATTTCCGTATTTTCGTCTTTTATTTCGGGTACTCCTGCGACTTCAAATGTGTTATTAAGCTGTTTTTGCTCAAGGTTTCCAATGTATTGTTCCATAGCATCGATTTTCAGCTCTAGATGTTTATTTTGGTTTGTTAAATATGTATTCTTGTTTCCCAGTTCTTTTATTTTTCCGCTAATTGTCGCTAAAGTGTCCATTATTCCATCCATTTTTTGACAACAAGAGCTGAGCGCTTCATTTACTGAGCCTATTTCTTTCTTTACTGCTTTTTTAACCTCGAATGATATGTCGCTTAGTAACTTTTTCATCGCGTTGGATCCGCTGTCAGTTCCCTGTGTTAATAATAGTTCTTCGTCGTCTTCCTCTTCCTCCTCTTGTATGACAAATGACCTTTGCCTTGGAGTTTCACGGCGACAAACTTCGCAGGTCCATTCCAGATTCTCAGTGTTGCGCAGTGCTGCTAATTGCTTAGATGTTAGTCTGGTGCAGGCCTGGGTAGCATGCACAGTTTTTGAGCATGTGTTGCTCAAAAGTTTGTCACAGTTGTCACACTTGGGCATTTTTGCGTGTTTTTATTATAATTTCAAACTAAGGGTAGAAAAAAAAACTTTGTAAACGTAAACACAAGTCAGCTGTTTCGTACAACGTCACGAGTTATACGATTATTATTTATTAAGCTATTGCATAGCTTCTATCGCGGGCCAGAAATTCCGTAACGAAAAAACCTCACGCTCCCCACTCCGACGGGCACGGAGGTGTGGCTTGAAGGCCGTGCATTGTCTAACGTCGTTTCTTTTCGGCAGTCTTCGACACGGTGTTTGTGTGCGTGCAACTAGACGTATTGTACGACTCTACGAAGCTCGCACGAATCGAGACGAGCTGCTCCAAAATCGGACGAATACATAAGCAGCTGTTTATGAGAAAGTATATAGGTGTATAGGTATTTATGTACAACAGTGAATAGCTGTACTTGTAAAATTTGTGTATAAAGTGTTTTGAATATGAATGAACAAAGTGCATTTATTATTTATTTATTTAATAAAAGAAAAAAATTTGTTTTCTTATCGGTCACCACGCTCAAAAAGTGTAACTTGAATTAATATATCAAAGAAAAAGAAATACTGCATAAATAAAATAAATAAATAATTATAATTGGATAAGTTGATACAAAATGCTATGCAATAGCTTTACCGCGGCAGTCTCCGAGTGCCACACGTCTTTTTATTTTATTTTATTGATATCGGCGGGTTCGAACCCAAGTTGCTTGCGTACTGTGAAATTTATAGTGACGAATCTAGGTAAAAGGATTTCAAGGAAAAACCTTAATTTGCAGGCATTGGCATCATCGACTTCGAGTCTTGGAGACCGATTTTCAGACAGAACTTCGGTGTGCTGATACCTTACAAGGACGTTTCGTACGAGATAGAAAAGAAAATGCACTGGTGGTGGCCGAAAACATGGATACAGGAGGAGGTGAGATCGGTTATTAATGAACTATGTTGTCCTAGTAACTTTGTCTAGTTTTGTGTATAATAAAAATGAGAACAAATACATTATGGGTGGGTTTTGCATTATTATTAATATATATTTTTATACGTGGTAGAGCCACGCTGCGGCCATATTATGCTTGCAGCACGAGTGGTTTAGCTCAACCGATGAAAGACCTCGTTTTCACAGAATACCAACGCAAAATATCAGCTTAATGTTTCTTTGTTTCGTATGGCGAGTTTAGAGAATTGGAGACTCTTTTTAATGGAAAAGAGGCATTTCATCTTATCCCTCAGAGGTGACAATGTATTTTGATTCTTAATTGAAGATAAGATGAGATAAGATAAGATATTTTATTTACTGAAACATAGGATGTCAGATATACAATGCATGGGCTGAAATATATTCTTGGTGTTAGTGATATTAGTATCAACATATCTTACCGATATTCGGTGTGTAAAATTTAAAATGTTAGGTTGTTAGTTTTCATTTAACATTGGCAAAGTCTATCATAATACAAAGTCAGTGTAATTATTACTTACGACAGTCATAATATGTATAAGACAATTATATAATGTCAAAATTTATCATTGAGAAAGTTAATTACAGTGTAGCAGCATTTTCCAATGAAAAGGTTTTTAAATTTATTTTTAAAAAGATTACCGTTTAGTGATTGATACATGGGAGGAATTTTATTATAGATTTTAGAAGCCACGCATACTACACTCTTACTTAGCACTCTTTCTTAACTGAGGAAATGTATAGATATCTATAGACCTTAGCATTCATTTACTATCAGGTAGACTGTGTGCTCTTTTGTCACCCTTATTGTATAAAAAATAGGTAATCTAATTTATTATTATAGAAGTAAGGGTGGCAAACTGCACACACCCTCCGTCATTACGTGCACTATTCACCGTCATCACTGAATCAAACACCACTACCCCCAAAAGTAATACACTACGAAAAACATACCACCGTCAGCAATCCAGCACGTGTTTCGCCACTAAGCGGGTCATAATTAGGCGAAATAAACTGCGATAACTGACCTCTTAGTAAGCCGCTCAGCTCTCTTAAGCGGGGAATCCACTAGACGGACTTGCCCACGGGCTTGTCTGTTGACATGCCGGCCAGACTTCGCTAGTATAGGTCTGTGCAAAGTTTTATAGTGTAGGAGTAGGACCATCGCAGTCGGTCTGGCAGACTTGCCTGTTGAACGTCCGCGCGAACGAACTTTGGATATTTTTAATTTGCAATGAGTATTAATGACAATAAAATATTCTATATCCATGCACTATGACTCTATATCCATGCGCAAGTAATTGTACGGGTCTCCTGGTTCATGAATTTCTAATTATTTATGTAAATTGATATGAATAAACTCATTTCTATTTTTATACCATTTATTGCACTAAATTAATAATAAATAAATAAAAATCATTGCAAATATAGATTGTCATTTTGATGTACACATAACTAAGCACATAGCCGGTCTAAAACAAAGTGATTATCACGGAATATATTTTTTATATTCCGTGGTCTGTATAGTGTATTGCGGCGACAGATATGCCCGGACAAACAGCGCGCGGGCATGTCCGTCTAGTGAATTCCCCGCTTTAGCTAATTAATTTAAACATCTTTAATATGATGGATTTACGACCAAACCACGCTCTCACAAAATACCAGCGTAAAATAGCGGCTTAACGCTCTGTGTTTCGTACGTCGAATGTAGAGAACCGGAGACCCTTTTTACTGGAAACGAGGCATTCCATTTTAGTTCTCGGGGGTGACAACGAATCTGCATTTCGAATGTTAATCGACGATAGATGTAAGTGTCTAGGAGCCTCAGCATCCACTTACAGATACTGTGTGCTAGTTTGTCACCCCATTCTATAAAAATATTCGTAGAAGCAATTTTCTATTAAGGTACGTGAGGGTAATGTGATCTTAAGCTTTACCGCTCTATAAAACCAAAACTGAGGAGGACAGAGACAAAAACACAAAGTCATATACTATAATTAATATTATATTAAAAAATAGCAAACAAGCCTTGGTATGTATAATTATGAACACTTAGTAAAAACTAATTTAAAAATAAAAAATATTCACTAAAATGTCAACTGTCAAAATGGCGTCGATAAAGCAGCGCCCTTTTGGCCCTTTATTATTTGATTGATTAATGAAGAGCTATCGTGTCACAAAGCCATCTATGTAAAACAAAGCTGCAGTTTTATAGTTATAAGAAAGTAATCATATCCGGATGAAAAGTATTACCCTCACGTAACTACTACGTACTATAGCAGTCTAAAAGAGTTCACCATTGAACACAGGCCCTTTGCACATTGTCTGATATTATGCCATAAATCCACGTTTGGCAGACATCCGAATAGCAATTTGATTCAAACACAAAGTTAATATGTATTGATAATCAAAAATCAAATTATTTATTTAATGACCCAAAGCGATCGTGATGCAACACAAAATTACATTCGTGCAAGGTTATTAAGGCCATTTGCAGACATCGTTGTCTTTGCCCTAATTAAGGCTCTGATTGCGCAATCAGATGTGATTGCGCAATCAGAGATGATGTGATCGGATATGAACGGAGATTTCATCAACCACTTTTCAAACATATTTAAATTCAAATACTAATTCTAATTGATTATTGCATTTCACGTTAGATAAATAAATTAAATTGAAATATCGACGAATAAATTAAATAACAGCTTTTTAGGGTTCCGTAGTCAACTAGGAACCCTTATAGTCTCGCCATGTCTGTCTGTCCGTCTGTCCATCCTCGCTTAATCTCTGTGACCGTTAGCACTAGAAAGCTGAAATTTGGTACCAATATGTGTATCAATAACGCCGACAAAGTGGTAAAATAAAAATCAAAAAAAATGTTTTATTAGGGTAGCCCCCCTATATGTAAAGTGGGAAGTGATTGTTTTTTAATTTCAACCCTAACGTGTGATATATACGTGTGATATGTTGGAAAGGTATTGAAAAATGAATAGGGGTTTACTAAAATCATTTTTTGATAATGTCAATCATTTCGGAAATAATCGCTCCAAAAGTAAAAAACAATGTGTCCCCCCCCCCTCTAACTTTTGAACTATAAGTTTAGAAAATATGAAAAAAAAAATCTGAAAAGTAGAACTTTATAAGGACTTTCTAGGAAAATCATTTTGAACTTGGATGGAAACAACAGTACCCAACCGGGAGCAGTTGCAGGAGCGCGGAGCGCTGCTGGAGCGCGAACATAATGGATCCCCACCTTTAAACTCATAAGTGGGAACACTTATTGTGACGGACGGGAAACTACGGAACCCTACACTGAACGTGGCCCGACACGCTCTTGGCCGGTTTTTACTAAATGCACATGATAGTTTATACGTTATTTTATACAAACAAAAAAGGGCAAAATTTTTGTTTGCCTGCCTGTCTGTCTGTTTGTTTGTTTGATCCGATTAATCTCCCAATTGGCTGGACCGATTTTGACTTGACTTTCATCTGATAAGGAGTAACCTTTACGTGGTAGAGCCATACTGCAACTATATAAGTAGTATAGCACGAACGTGTCGGCTCGACCGGGGCAGGACCACGCTCTCACAGAATACCAGCGTAAAATAGCAGCTTCACGCTGTTGTGTTTCTTATGATGAGTGTAGAGAACCTGAGACACTTTTGACTGAAAAGAAGGCATTCTATCGTAGTCCTCACGGGTGACAACGCATTTGCATTTTGATTCGTAATTGAGGATAAATGTAGATATCTATGGGCTCAGCAACCACTTACCATCAGGTGGGCTGTGTGCTCGTTTGTCACATTTCACCTGTAAAAAAACTTAGACTACTTTAATTTAAGAAAAATCATTAGGGTTCCACGCAAAAAAAATCAATCGTAACAAATTCCATGCGGATGAAGTCGCGGCGAACAGCTAGTTATTTACAAGTATACATGCGACTGCCTCGTTGGTTTAGTGGTTATAAACGCGACTGATGACTATGTAGTCTCAGGGTCGAATTCCGGGTCGGGTCAAAAAAAAAACAGTTAAGTTTTCTGTCCAGATATTCTCCGTAGCAGTAACTTTAGTGGAGAATAGTACTTCTTAATCAGTTAAGTTTTTGTGTGACTAATTTGTCCGCCCCTTTTGTTAAAGGGTATCACAACAGTTTTATCAGCATTGACTGATAAACAATTACCCTACACCGGTTATTTATGGTGTTTAAGGCTCTTTGTATGATTAATGATAAAGTAATTTGGCAAAAACCAAGGTCAACAGCATAACCCATTGTGTTAATACGAAGGTCTGCCATCTTGTACAACAATTGGTTACCCGTAAAAGTCCAAAGAAGGTGTGACTATACACCTCCTTGTGGGGAGCCTCTTGTAGTTGTAACCTCAATCGAAGTTTGAAACAGCGCTATTAACAACGCCTTTCTGTTTGAGAACATCGACTTCCTCCACCTGGTTCAACATTTTTCAGATGTCAATTCCTCAACCAGCGGTGATGTGGTGGCTACTGTCGGAGGCGCCCTTAATGTTTAAAAAGACACAAAGAGCTTTTTCTTTATCATGTCAATAACACTGATCAGTAAGCATGCTTGTCGTAATGTATGGGCCTCGTAGCTAGAGCTACATCCCTAATATATCTATAACCTTTTCCATTGTATTGAGAAGAAATGAAGATAGGCTTATATGTCGAAAGGACTTTAGTAAAGCGTGGTCCTTTCTACCAGCCTTGGGTATAAATAGAACTTTGACGATTATCCATTGCTCTAGAATATATCCCCATTCTAAACTTGCTCTGAAGATTTTCACCGGATACGTAAGACGATGTCAATACTCCTATAGTTGGATGAGGTTGGATGAGATTAATTTTAAGGATTTAACAGCCTACTTCATCAAATTTGACCTTATTATCTTTGCACCAGTCTTTCGCAGGGTTCTGGAGGAGTTTGAGCCAAAAGTCTTCTGTGACCCTGTGAAATGGGTTGACGCTAGTAACTCCATGTTTCTGTTTCACTAGTATTGAATTCACCATCAGGCTTTTTAAGATGCCCAATCTAATTAGGTTTAGCTTTCGATAGCATTTTGTGTAGTCTTGCACTGCGAGGCAACGACTGAACTTCCTCGCGTGGCTTCCTCCACGATGCTCTCTTAGCTTTCCTAATCTCTTTATTATATTCAAAAAAAAGATAACTACAATTTAAAATAAAAATTACAAAAAAAAGATTACAATAATGATAAATTATAAAAATGTCAATAACTATAAAATACAAAAAAATAAACCACCTACAAAAAATAAATATCACACAAAATAATAACTACATTTAAAAAAATTCCATATTTCTTAAAATATTATCAAAAGTCAAAACAAAATAAATTAGCATAAAACTCCACAAACTCCCAGTAGGAACTTTTTTAAAGTATAATCAGTAAGGGCTGCACTATAGATATCCTACTCTTACAATTAATTTTAATCAAATTTAGATTACTAATTTAAATGTTGGTCAGTGTTTTTCTCTAAAAATAATTAAAATTTGGGAGCACTGTCAGGTCGTCGTGTTAAATACGACATCACTAAAGCCAATATAAACAAGTAGACGAAGCCACAATTAAACAATTCGCGTTAAACCGCGCTTCCTCTCACGTCAATTAGCATCATTGGTTAATAAAGCTAATTACGCTGTGTGCACCTTCAGCTACAATATAAACGAACCTTGAATATCCCTCTCTATGTCCAAGGCTAATTCCTATTTCAACATATGGTCCAAATAATCTACTTCTACGCAGAGCTATTGATCAGTTAGTTGAAGTAGCAACATACCAACCTTAAAGCTCAAAAAACTGATAACCGATGTGAAAATAAATTGAATTGAATTGAAAATAAAATAAAAGAAAAAAGAAGTTATTGAGTTGGAAATAGAAATAAATAATACTTTTCTTGTAATGTCACTATTATTTAAGTTAATAGTAGTAAATATTATTTAAAGAAAAAAAATGATAATAATTTTATAAATACTCGAATGTATATGTAGTAAATAGAGATGGGTCGAATATTCGCTTCATTTTCGGTATTCGACATATTCAGCAGTTTTACCGAATATTCGTATTCGGCCGAATATTCGGCTAAATCACCGAATATTCGTTAAAGTGGTACTCAAGGTGTGCACTATATTAAAATGTACGAATTTTAGTATATTTTATCTAAGGGTTAAATCTACTTGTATAGCGTTATGTTTTTGAGGTATTGTAGATTTATTTCCAATTATAGCAAATAGAAAGCTCGATAAAATGTTTTTAAAATCAAACAAAGAAACATTACATTACATTAGTACAATTCACTTTACTTTGGTCGTCAGTTTCTCTAAAATAAGTCCAAAGAATAGATCTCCTGCCACTTATTTTATTATATAATTATGAATTTTCACTAATAACATAACGAAATAGTTTTTTCTCACAAAAAATAGTCAAAACATAAGCATGTACCAGAAATATTCTCAGTACTAGATGATGCAATAACATGTCAGGTGTGGCGGGAGAGCTAAGGGCAGGGTTCGGCGCTAGTCCCACGCACGCTATGGCAACAAGTTTTGACATAAAGTGGTTAGGTACCGAGGTGATCCTTCCGAATAATGTTCGGCCGAATATTCGGTTCGGTAAAACTTTTACTGAACATTCGGCCAAATATTCGTATTCGGTGAAATCCATATTCGGCCCATCTCTAGTAGTAAAGGAATATTTTAACGTGGTAGATCCTTGCTACGGCTATATTCGTAGTACAGTCGTAGCACGAATGGGTCAGCTAGGCGGGGGAAGAACCACGCCCTAACAGAATACCAGCGTAAAACAGCTTAATGCTGCTATGTTTTGTATGGTGAGTGTAGAAAACTGGAGACCCTTTTTACTGGAAACGAGGCATTCCATCTTTGTCCTAAGGTGTAACAATGGATCTATATTTTGATTCCTAATCGAGGATAGATGTAGTTGTTCAAAGGCATACACTTAACATCCGATGACAAAAATGATGAAGATGATGATGTAGAGCCTTTATTCTAAGACTTATGTGTTAGGACTCCTCTCCCGGTCAAGCCGACCCATTCGTGCTGCAGTAATAATATAGCTGCAACGTAGCTCTACCACGTATAATATCGCCAATATTTGTTTAAAGAAACCAATTGTGTTTAATACGATCACGCACACCTAAGATGTTAAGAATCTTTAAAAGATATTTGATATTTAGATATTAAAATGTAAACATTTACAGTTACAACATGATAAAATTGTATCTCGTTATGTTTGTTGTCATGTTTTCTTTTTTTTTAAATACAGACGTTTCTTTTTAGTTTAATGCCTTTGTCTTAACGTAGATTCCACTATTGTAAATATTGACTTCAGTATTGTTTAAAATAAATATATAAGATTCGTTTCAGACCAACAAATATATATAGACGAAATCCCGTACACATTCTAAGCGACGGCAAAACAATGAGTAGGTAACTTATTTGGAATACCAGCGTAAAGTAGCAGCTTAATACTGCTGTGTTTCGTATGGTGAGTATAGAGATCCGGAGACCCTTTTTTACTGGAAACGAGGCATTCCGTCTTAGTCCTCAGGGGTGACAACACATCTGCGTTTTGATTCTTAATCGAGGTTAAATGTAGATGTCTATGTACCACAGCATCCACTTACCATAATGTGGACTGTGTGCTCGTTTGTCACCCCCCTTCTATAAAGAAGATGCGTTGTCCCCCCTAAGGATTAAGATAGAATGCCTCGTTTCCAATAAAAAGGGTATCCGCTTCTCTACACTCACCATACAAAATAGAAACATTAAACTGCTACTTTACGCTGGTATTCTGTGAGAGCGTGGTCCTTCCCCGGTCGAACCGAGCCGTTCATGCTACATACTATATACATAATATAGCTGCATCGTGGCTGTACCGAGAGTATATAAAATGTTTATATTATAGTGTCGTGTAGCCCCCAAAACAATACAATATAAAGTGTCAATGTAGAGTAAGGAGTTCAATGAAAATTAGTCTCAATTTTTCCGTTGGTCGACCATGTCAGGTCTAGTTTTATACCGAAATGTCGCCCTTTTAAATCTGCCGCCCGGTGCTTTGATCTTCCAACCACCGTTTGCTAATATGCTTATATGCTTGAATCATCAAAAATAAGAATAAAAGAAAATGTTTCTTCGTTACTACTAAATTAGTACTACCCGCTACAAATTTGAATTCAGTATTAACAAAACATTACATTTTAAACTGTAATTATTTATGACCTGACTGGTAATAAAGTGGGTAATCTGTTTATAAATATATGTCTTTTTTACACCTTAAGCAAACCAAATTAAGTGTTAACTGTCATTCAAACAATGTTTACTTACCATTTTCTTGTTTACCCAGACTTTGTTTACACTTTCAGTTGTTTGTTTAAAACTTAACATTGTAAATAACTTACGAACTACTTGAATATTGCGTGAATTCACAGATAAAAGGAAACTTCTGTTACCATTACCATTAAAGCTTTTTAAAGTCAGCTAAACATAGCCAAACTCCAGGAATGGCACAAACCACGATCCTGAGCCACCTGCATGCATCGACTTCCTGCACGTCTTGCCGGGTCGTCACTCCATCTAGTGGGGTGCCGCCCTCGCCCTACAGTTTGCTTACCTATACGAAGTTTCTACTCGAGATCCTTTCTTATCCATCAGTAATCGGTTCATAAAGCTATATGGAAGGCCCAATGTCACGTCAGCTTACTATTCTTTTTTTTTTATATAGCATTGGGTGATAAACGAGCACACAGTTCACCTGATGGTAAATGCATAATTTACAATCTTGTTTTCAAGTTTAAAGGTATACCTAACTAGGAGATGTGTCGTAATCTCCTGAATCATCATGTAAATCAGTTTGAATTAAGTCGAATTTAATTTAATTTCAGGCTAAAGAACGTTTCGAAGAGGCTGCAAGGATTTTCATGCAGAACACTCTGTCCATTGCGAAGCAGATGCGGCCGAAGGCGCAATGGGGCTACTACGGGTTCCCGTATTGCTTCAATGTGGCCACTAACAACCCCTCCGAAAACTGTCCGGCAAAAGTCACACAAGAAAACAACCAGTAAGTTTGTCTTTAAAGACAATAAAGTTAAAGTTTAAAGATTTGTTATCTAAGTTATGTTTCGTCAGTTCTGCCTGTTCAGATACGATTGTTTTAGTTTTTGCGGCGTTATTTGAACATTTAGACTCATCAGAATTTGAGGTATCAAAAAGAAACTTAACTCACCCAAAAAATGTTTAAACGTACATAAATATAAGTAGTTTTTCTCAAAACGAATTAAAACGTGCCGCCTAAAAATAAAATGATAAATTTTTGTAATACATTATACTTATTACAATGAATATGAAGTGATAGGGCTGCAAATAATAGTTACTTGTTTGTTTGTTTTAATGGCGCTTAAAGTTACCGGCTTGGTCCGCTTCTCCTAGCCCAACGCGCCCATATGGTCCCAGGATGAGCCACTGCTCTTATCTGTCTACCACCGAGCAGCAGAGCTGAACTGCTGTATTACTTTTTGTAGAGTTATAGAGTCAATATAATTACGGCGTCACATCATTTCATTATACTGAAAATAACCCTCAATAAGTTGAATAAAACTAAATTTACGGATTCTATCGCGTTTAATTAACTACTTTTACTTATTTTTAATTCCCGACGTTTCGGGTGCTTTACAGCACCCATGGTCAAGAGGGACTGAGATGTTTAACGTCCCAATGTCATTGTTAGCCTGGCTACCTTCAGTTTTTTAACTTTTAACACCCTATCAATGTGTAGTGTTTGCGTAAATTTAAGAAATCATTATGTGACCCTCAATAAGTTTTCTTTTATTGAACCAGGATGACCCAAACGAGCGATATTTATCCTCGATTAAGAATCAAAATGCAGATGCATTGCCACCCCTGAGAACTAAGATGAAATGCCTCGTATCCAGTAAAACGAGTCTCCGGTTCTCAACACTCACCATACGAAACACGGCAGCATTAAGCTGCTATTTTACGCTGGTATTCTGTGAGAGCGTGGTCCTTCATCGCTCGAGCCGATCCATTCGTGCGACAACCATAACATATCTACATTATATTTATAAGTAGCAATATGTCCCGGCTTCGCACGAATGATTTCTGGATCTCAACAACAGCGCCACTTACCGGGTCGAATTGCGTTTTTAAACCATCCAGGGACCCATTCAAAGACACATAAAAAATTCATCACCAGCCAATTCTTCGGGTCAGTCGGGATCAAATCCAGTCCGAAAGAGAAGCTATGGTAAAGCGTGTAAATCTCACACTACAGGCAGTCTCCGAATGGGGCGATGCTAATCTTATAAAATTCAACGCCTCCAAAAAACACAATGCAAAGGGAGCCAGCCAGTGCACCTTGGCTCTTTCTTTCCGAAAGTTATAACTGGAATACACGGATCGCCTTCAATTGTTGGGGGGGTTGAGATATCCTCAAATCTGAACTTCGGGCAGTTCATTGAGTCCAAGGCCAAAGCAGCTGCAAGGAAGATAGGATTCCTTGCAAAAGTGCGGCGATACTTCACGCCGGAACAGCTGCTTTATATAAAGCGCAAGTGCGGTCATGCATGGAGTATTGCTGCCACATATGAGCTGGTGCTGTAAAATGCCACCCAGTAGCTTTGAACTCAATGGAAAGACGTGATAAGAGGCTTATTGGTGACCCGAATTTAGTTAAAAGCCATCTTACCAGCCTCGAACACAGGTGCAAAGTAGCCAGCTTCTCGGTTTTCTACAGGACGCATTTCGGATAGTGTGCGCCGGAATTGCATAATTTAATTCCTCCCTCTGCTTCCACCGTTGGACAACCAAACGTTCAGCCAGTCTCCACCCTTTCATTGGCGACTTACCACGCATTCGAACCACGGTTTGCTTTGCTGTTCATCATACGTACAGCAAAGGAGTGGAACAAGTTGCCAACATCTGCTTTTCATCCGATTAAAGTGTGGGTGTCTTCAAGGCAATATTGAATAGGCTTTTGTTAACGCTTCACCATCTTAAGCTGCATTACCACTTACCATCAGGTGTGATTATAGTTAAGCGCTGGCTTAGAACATAGAATACTATAATACATACATAATAGAACGGGGGAGTGGGCGGAGCCTGCGTAGCCACTAAAATGTCACTAACACGTCAATTCACACGTATAAATGTCAACACGAGATGTATTTTGACTTTACAATCGTTTCCAAATTTCGCATGCAATTTATTTAGAAAATGCCAAATTGCACGCTATTTACAAATAAATATGTATTAAAATCCGTCTGTCAACACAGCGAATCAGGTTTGTAGTAGTGATTAACTGATAATACGACGTAATTGGTTGTATGTGTGCTGCCGGCGTCGCCTATCATCGTACAAAATAAGGTTGACAGCCATTCTATTGTGTATTAAGTATTCTATGGCTTAGAATAATAATAAAGAATCAAAATCAATCGAGCCGTTTTCGAATTTTAGTGAGACTATCGGACAGCATTTGATCTTATAAGAAAATCTCCATTGAAAAAAATTTGTTCTATTTCATACTATTCTATTCTACTCTTCTCTTCCACAAAACGAAACACAACAGTGATGCCACTGCTGCTTAACAGCCGAAATAATGATAAACAACATTAACAAAATCATCATAATCGTTAATAATTTTCCAGGTTACACTGGCTCTGGTCAGAAAGCACGGCATTATACCCATCCGTGTACAGCTCAAAGAACCTAACCTCCAAACAACTAGCCGCCCTGATCCGAGGCAGGGTGGCAGAAGCCTCACGTACAAGGAGGAAAGGAACTCTAATACTGCCCTATTTCTGGTTTAGGTATAGAGACGGCGGTTTCTTCAACGAGGTTAGTGTAAACTATTTTTTTTTCACTTATTATAAGCAAGTGCTTGAAAACATTCCCACCAGATGGTAAGTGGGGATGAAGCCGTAGATGGTAAATCGTACTGTCTTAGCGTAAGCAAAGCGTATTCACTCTTGCCTTGAAGACGCCCAGATTGTATTCGGACGGAAAGGCAGACGCTAGCAAAATATTCCAGTCCTTTGCTGTACGCATTACAAAAGATGTAGCAAACCATTTGGTTCTAATGCGTGGAATATCGACAACAAAGTGGTGAAGTCCCACCGACCATCTGGTTGTCCGATGGAGGAAAGGAGAGGGAGGAATTAGAGGATGTAATTCCTGCGCACACTTTCCGAAATGCATCTAATGCGCATAGACAAGATTTATTTTAACCAAATCAAGGTACTAATGAGCCTCATAGCAAGACTTTCCACTGAGGAAATTACTGTAGGGATACATGTCTGGTGGGTTTCTTTATGGATGACAAACGACACAGTCCACCTGATGATAAATGGTTGCAGTGGCCCATAGACATCTACATCTGTCCTCGACAACGAATCACAATGCAGATGCGTTGTCACCCCTAAGGGCTAATGTAGAATGGCTCGTTTCCAGTGAAAAGGGTCTCCGGTTCTCTGCGCTCACCATAAGGAACACCGCAGCGTTGAGCTAGTATTTTACGCTCGTATTCTGTGAGAGGATGCTCCTTCCCCCGTCAAGCCGACCCATTCGTGCTACAACTGTAATATATCTGCAGCGTGGCTCTACCACGTAAGTAGTAGGTAGTAAGATACCTCAGTGTAGCCTATCCCATGTTAAAACCATCAAACACTATCTGTAGTGTGTCCTCAGATAGTGGTTGTGAGTTTATTACCTCCAAAATCTTCATCATTACTGTCTGTCAAAGTCAACTGCCCTACATGGGCTTCCCCATAGATTGACTCGTAAGTAACAAAATATATAAACTATAAAGTAATTCATCAATGATAATTTATATTTTTATCAACCGCAAAGTTGATAAAAATATAAATTAAATAAATAAAATTATTTTTGTACCATAACGTGAAAACAAACATTAGTTATCTACGGATATTAATAATTTAATAGTGTATCATATCCACGCTTGCATCATTTTCAGTTTAAAGACATAACAAATTGTCACCATAAAAGTTAGACGTATATTATTATTATAGTAGTTATGAAATATATATATTACATTGAATGTAAATTTAAGTGTTTTAATTGCAGCTGGATCTAGAAATGGTTTTAAAGACATTGTATAAATCAAACGCTTCCGGTTTTATAATATGGGGGAGCTCTAAGGATGTGAATACGATTGACAAATGCAACAAGCTGCAAAACTATGTAGATACTATAATGGGACCAGCCATCGCCAAATATGCGAAATACAACCAAAAAACCGAAGATGAAACGACAACTAATGATTCTAACTATATTACCTACGAAACTGTTACAAAAGAAGCAGTTTACGATGATCAAACAACTGTCACTCCTGAAAATGTACCTAACAGTACTAGTACAACGCATCAAAATTTGCTAGAAAACAATGAAACCGAGATTGAAAATGAAAAAATTCAATCAAATAATATTGCATTAGATCCTGAATTCCATTGGGTTCCGCCAGATACATACAATCAAGATATAAAACTTTATGTAGAAGAGGAACTAACGAAAAAATTAAAAAATAATAATATAACTACTGATATAAAACACAAATTAGCTGACAGTTTAAAAGGAACTATTCTCATAGACATGATAATAAATGCCCTATATGGTTCAAAAACAGAAATAAAAATAGCACCGGAATCTAACGGCGAACTTAAACCTATAGAAAATGTATTAAATAATGTAGACTCTAACTTACATCATATCAACAAGTTTACGTCAGTATCTAAATACCCACCATTTGAACCGAGTACCGAAAGTCCCATTGTAGATGCTAATAAAGAAATAAAAGAAGGACCTACTTTAAACGACATCATTTTAGGTGGTTACGATCGCAATATATATACCACGGGATATACTGTACCTATAGCAGTAGTAGAAAATAGTTATAAAGATTTTAACACCCATGACACAAAAAATAAACATGTGATCAGCCAGAATAAAGCTAAAAATAGCTCATCTAATGATTTTGTAGATCCTAAAACCCAAATTGAACTATCAACTAGTCCATCTGTGTCAAATGTAGAGAAAACATTTATAAATGCAGAGAAAAAAGACCAAACCACAGTTTTGCCATTCAATCAGATTGAAGATGACTACGTATTTTTTGACCTCAAAACAGAAACCGATAATCTAAGTACCACAACTAATAATGTAAGGTTTTACACAGATGACTTAAATTTGATAACAAGTATATCTAACATAACAACAGAAACAACTACTATTGATAGAAATAAACAAATAGGAATAAGTTCAAATAGCATGACAGAAGACTTTTATATATCACAGTATTCTATATATATCACAAAAGAATCCAATTTAACGAATTTGACCAATAATAGTTTAACAGAACCACAAACTTTCACTGAAAGAAATGACAAAGAATTCGTTTATTTTCATAAAGAAGGAAATGTTGACGAAATTCTTTCACAGCAAACAGAAAACCTATCAGTATTTACAGAAAGTGTAAATTCTTCTACAGATTTAGATGACAATGCCACAGTATCACCAGTATTAGAAGAAGTTTTAGAAGAAATTATGTCATTAGGTAAAAACGAAGAAGTAAACATTGATGAAAATTTTACTCCTCTCGGTCTTCCTTCTACGAGTTCACCTGATAAGGTGGTTGTTTATATTTTATAGCATTTATTACCTTGTATAATATTAAATTAACAGTCATTTACTAAAATAGCTTTAGTCGTGTTTAAGAATATTAACAACTTTGCATTTTGTTGCCTGTTACGTGTGTTAAAATGTACTTAATTTTCTTTTGGACGAATTATTAATAATAGTTTGTCTATTTATTTTTGTTACGCTACGTTCACTCACATTTGATACTTAGCTTGCTACATATTTATTTATCTATGTTTGATACTTTTGAATATGTTTTTTTTTTTAATTTGTTGTAATTATAGCTTGTTAGTAATTTGCCCACACCGAATCAAAAGAGACAAATGTTGAGAGTGAAGATTTTTTTTTACAGAGAAAGAAAAGTCAATTTGATAAAATTCATTTGCAAGATTATATTGCCTTGAACCATAACTTTTACGCACAAAACCAAATCCTAGTTACGATTTCTATATTGATATTTATATTGTTTATCAATTCCTTCAAAGATTTTCGTGCATGTGAATTTGTTATAATTTGCCAGTTTCAATATTTGTCAATGATTAAAGAAATAACATGCAATGCACTGAATTCCTAATGCCTGTACTTATTTTTATTTAAATTAATTTTAAGTTTGTAAATTAGCCAAGAGTATTATAACAATAGTGTGTTCTTATGTTTTAAAATGTTTAGTATATCGTAGCGCATTTTAATTTTCATAACATTTTAGTCCTTCAATCAAATACTATAGAGCAGGTATAAAAAGCCTCATATGGTTATGGGCGCTGCAAATCTGGAAAACGTAGGTTTGAATCGGCTATTTCACTACTCTCGTTAACCTAATAAATTAGTTGATTCGTTAACTACCCCTGTGATGTGGTTACTACATTGACTATTAAATAAGTGGGTAATTCGGTAATAACTCCTAATGGAATTCTAATCGATTCCTAATGCAGTGGTTAATGAGAATAAAAGTAACGCTAATAGCGTTACAAGATCTTCATAAATAACAATAATCTTTTACTGGCACCACTTGTGTTTTAGCGTGAGTTTTCTCCTGAGTCATGTTTTATTACCATGTTTTTATTAACTTGCTTGCGTGATTGTCTATTCGGAGCCAATTTAATAATTGATTTTAAACAAAATGAGCTAGTGAAATTTTGAACATAGCTTAGTATTGTAAGAAATATAAGAATATGAAAATACGTGGTACCTACATTAAAAAATTAATGCATACTTTTAAAAAATTTCACTTGTTTAAAACAATTAGACAGTCAGATAGTTCATTTTAATGAAACGAAAAACAATAGTGTATTTATCGACATTGTATAAGTTCAATTCTGAAAATTAAAATACTCAAAATTATACTAAGACTACAATTACAAATATATCAATAATTGGACATCATTATGAAAAATAAAATGTAAGTTCAAATTGTATAAAAATAAAAATAAACGCTCAATTCAAAACTAGATGACGCTTTCCAATTTTCGTAAATAAATAGCAGATGGCGCTTTCTTTCATTACTAAACATATTATTTTTAGAAATGTTTAAAAAGTTTACCAAAATTAGCGTTAAATGTTCGTAGTATTTGATTAAACAGCTCAGGCTGGTCATATTTTATTGTGTAAAGGTAATCTTTGTATAATAATCCGTTGGTGTATCTGTTGACCTCATACTCAAAGAATATAATTTTTTTGTCGAAACGATGGTTCACAGATACGCTGAGATACAATAGGTGGCGCTGTAGTTAATTTATTAAAATTGTGTATTTATGGACCAAAATTATTCATATTTTCAAAATATTATGTTGACTTGGTGCCAAAATAGCCCGGACTGAATTCGCAATGCAAATCAGTACGCCACCTATCGGTAACATACAACCTTACACTTTTATGCATGCTATGATTCTCTGATATGTGATATGTGATCCGACCAGTGATATGAAATGTAATTCAAAAGTCCCAGAGCTGAGCTCATTACGCGTCAATTTTTTGAGAGTAAAATAGAACCAAATCGCCAGATATATACAGAGAATATTATACAATAAAATTATATAGCTATAATATATTAGGGACTACCATTTAGTTGACCTTTAGTTACCTTGTGGCTCTATATGTCGTAAGCGTGACTTGTGATTATGTGGTCTTGTCCACAGAATCAGTTATAAAATTTTCCGTTCAGTAGCAGCCCAAAGTCATGAAGTTCTCGGTGTTTCACCCACGTGCCTCGAAGAGCACTTCAATCCTTTAGTCCTGCACCCAGGATTGCCAGATGGTCGCGACTCTTCTGGATTCTCCCGACATTTTAAATTATCTCCACGACTCCCGACAAAATTGCCAGACAAACAGCTTCTCTTCAAATCACAGCTACCTTTGATTTAATAAAAGCTGAGTTAGTAATTAGTCTAAACTTTGAAGTGTATTGTTTGAATTTTAAATCTTTATTGAATATTACTAAAAGATCTAAATTGGTGGATACAGTAACGTCCAATGCCAAATACATATGGCAACCTACACATTAAGGCGTGCTGAAATTAGTTATGTGTCAACAATGTTGTCTTTTTCTATGTCTTTTTCTAGCCTATTAATTTAAAAAATAAGCTTTTTATTTTGCTTTTTTTAAATATTTATTTCTCCCGACATCAAGCCCAAAATCCCGACATTTTCAAATTTTTTCCAAATATTTTGGTCTTCCGATATGGCATTCTTACCTGCACCCGATCTGTCTTCGATCGGATAGCGGATAACAGATTAAAGAGTGCAGCTGTGCTTGCCCACACTCTCGTGCATTATAACTTATAACCCCGTCCTAAGCCGAATGCAAACGTCAGTTAAGGCTGGTTGCTATGACCGAAATTCGGTTGGGGTTATTATCATTAACAACCGAGTGATACACCTTCAACGATTATTAATCATAGCTTACAAACTAGATTTCATATCACTGTTCATCACAAAAAACCATCAATATATAATAGATAGCGCTAAAAATAAAAAATATAAAATTGGCATTAAATGTAGTAAATGACTTGGAATGAAAAAAAACAGTTATTTTCATTCCAAGTCATTTAGTGACAGTAAATCTGGCATAGACAAAACACCATTTTTTTTGCCGCGCTTTCTGAATTATTTATTTAAATATATGGAGTGCTTCCAACTGGAAATAGTAAATTACTTAAAAATAGCTTTGTCTATGACTGAGTCTAATGTTAATTTATTTATATATTTGCTTGCATAGAGATTGTCTGTCGGTGTGTTTAAATGTGTTAACATTTCTTTGCGTAGGTCGCTACAAGCAACATCGCTAACGGGGCGAAGGATTTAATGTACACATATTATATGTTTATTATGTATCTTAAAATGTTAATGTGAATTACATAGTAAATGTTCTTAAAATCCAAGTTAATCTGGTAACACTTCATCTGTGATATTATGTGAAATATAGTTAAATATAACATATTGTATCAATGTAAATTTTATTTTAGACTGTAAGTACAATTAAAAATCTGTGTTATTTTTTATTTTTTATTTCTATTTCCTATGTTCTTAAGATATGACATACAAATAGACTCATAGCGATGTTAGCATAGCATCTATGTTATTATTTAATTTATGAAATCAGCCTATTGTTGTTCTGAAATAAGCGTTTCAATAGCTTGTTCCGATAGTCGTCTCCTTGATTATTTAGAGATTTGCCAAAGGATAATGAGGAAATTTTCATTATTATCATCACATCCGTTCACAAGTCCACTGCTGAACATGGGCATCCCCCAAAGAATGCCACAAAGCACGATCCTGAGCCACCTGCATGCGATTCATCTAGTGGGGGGCCCCCTACACTTCGCTTACCGGTACGAAGCTGCCACACAATTTCTTCCTCATCGGTTATTGGTTCTTCGAGCTATATAGCCAGTCCATTGCCACTTCAGCTTAGTGATCCCTTGGGCTATGTCTGTTACTTTGGTTCTACTGCGGATATCCTCATTTGTAAGTGTATCACACAGAGAAACCACGTCTAAGACTGTCAGCACTGGTTATACAATTAATTAATTATAATTAAAAAAAATATCCGGCTGGGTTTCTTGCTGGTTCTTCCCGGGACAGAGGTTTTGTACCAGTGGTAAATTAAAAAAATGACTTTCAGTAAGTATTATTTATAATCTATATTTATTAAAAAAGTTAATATTTCTGTTTCCAGCCATACCATTATAGAACTAACCATAGAATACTATAATACACAATAGAATGGCTGTCAACCTTATTTTGTACGGAGGTTCGGCGTCGTCGGTAGCAATCACGTCGTATTATCAGTTAATCACTACTACAAACTCGATTCGCTGTGTTAAAAGACGGATTTTAATACATATTTATTTGTAAATAGCGTGCAATTTCGTATTTTCTGAATAATTTGCATGCGAAATTTGGAAACGATTGTAACGTCAAAATACATCTCGTGTTGACATTTATAAGTGTGAATTGACGTCTTGTGGCATTTTAGTGGCTACACGGGCTCCGCTCACACCTCCGTTCTATTATGTATGAATTATAGTATTCTATGGGACCAACCATTATATTGGTCCTATAATGGAAAGCTCCACGCTCTCATATAATACCAGCGTAAAATAACAGCTTAATGCTGCTGTGTTTCGTATGGTGAGTGTAGAGACCAGGAGATCTTTTTACTGGAATTGAGACAAACATCACCGTTGGACTATGTGCTCGTTTATCATCCTTATTTTATGGCGCTACTCATCTTCTGTTTTAATCGCCTCAGTCACCTCTTACAGCACCCACGAGATGATATGGTGTAGTGGATTATCTGATGTCATCACTCAACGGTGAGTGATATTAGGTTCTACAAAATATACTTACAAATAATACTAGGTATTTTCAACGTGGTAGTCACGCTGCTTATATATTATGTTGTAGCGAGAACGAATCGGCACGACCGAGGAAGGACTGGCCTTTGACGGACCACGTTCGCACATAAGACCAGCGTAAAATAGCAGCTTAATGTTGCTGTGTACCGTGTGGTGAATGTAGAGAACCGGAGACCCTTTTTACTCGAAACAAGGCTTTCCATCCTAGTCCTCAGGGGCGACAACGCATCTGAATTTTGTACACACACCACAGTATAGTTTTACTATCTTTTATATTCTATAAAAAAATCGATAACTAAAAACTACAATAGTCATCAACATAATATAATATATTAACAAATTACACATGGATAAATTCACTCAATTCTTTAAATAAATATTTGGTTCACAATACATTACTATGTGACTATATTTTTAGTATGCAAAAAGGAACATGGCTTTTTTGTAGAGCCAAGAAAAAAGTAAACAAACATCATCACACCACAAAAAATTGTATCAGAACTACATCAGTTGTATAGAGTTACATGCTTCTTTAATGAATTAATTTTTCAATTCCTTTAAAATTATATAAAAGAAAGAAAGAGATAAAGAAGAAAAAGAATGAACCAGGCAAAAGTAGTCCAAAGGTCAATGACTAAATTAATGAAATCAATTTAAGCTAACAAGTAACATTTAATTTTATAGACGAATTTCAGGTTCATAGAATTTGAACCAAACAAACATAATTTCAATCAAGTGTTTATATGCCTAAAAACAATGTTAAAATTTTTTTTATTTTGTTTAGGTGCATTTTAACATCGAAACCTCTGCAAAGAAGAACTGGCAAGGCACTCGGGGTCATTTATTTTTATTCCTTCGAAAAAATATAGGTACTTACCTAATTCCGTTCCACATTTAAAATACTTGAATAGATGTTTGGGATTTATTGACCACCGGCGATTTGCTGCTCAGTTTTTAGCGGTTTGAAGTATATTTTGATTCGATCAAGTTAATGGTCTGTACATGTAAACTATTATTGGAAACAATTTATTGTGAAGAAATTAAAACTTCTTTACAATGTGCAAATTATTATAAAGGAGATTTTTTTTGACACTGGCAAAAGTACAACTCTACGAGTCCATTACAAAAGCAAGAAAAAATAGAAGTGTAGTTTTATGATGTCGGCATTACCACTGCATTGAGGCGATCACCACAACAAAAAGAGTTTTATGTCCATATTATAACACACAATAAAATGATTAAAAACCACACAAAACAACAAAGCAATTATTCTTGAACAGCAAAGGAGTTTCCTCGTCCGTGACAAAATTTCTATCTGGTCTCACACTCGCGTAGGGATTATTCTTGGCCTCTGATATAACTTTGTAATTTAATTCTGTATGTTTGTCGATGTATTCTAAATCTCTTTTCAATTCCTCTAGCGAGTGAGATGTAATAAGAAATGGGATTTTTTGCTTCATAATACAGTTGATGGTCGATGGCCACGCGTTAGTTTCATTGTACGACGATGATCTTTGAATGTTGGGGTTGAAAGCGCATACTGAAAGCAGATGATTTTATTTATTAATTAAAAAAACACATTCGGGTGGAAATTATTTATAATTTTATTAATTTTGTATTTATATTCTATTCTTACGCCCTTATTCCTCAATTGGCCCGAGAATTGAATCTACCCATCTATATATTAAAAGGCGAAGAGAAAACTTCATATCCCATACACTGGGGACCTTCAAGAAAAGAGCTTATTCCTTTCTAAAGGACCGGCAACGCACCTGCAATTCCCCTGGTGTTGCGGTTGATCACGGGCGGCGGTAGTCACTTGACATCAGGTGAGCCGCATGCTCGTTTGCCCCCTCTTCTATAAAAAAATTCCTCTTTAACCACATTGCGCGCACGTAGGAGTGTGACATTTAGCACAGTTAAAGTTTGTATCTAAATGGAATGCAAAAAGGTAAAATTTACATGTTACAATTACATTTGTGGCGGCCCTGTAGTCCCGTCACAAGCGAAACCTAAATCGCTCTATCAAAATTCTGAAGTTTAACGTGCTATATACTGGATGACTTTTTTTACCATGAGACGGTAAAAAAGGTAATCCAGTATAGAACAGCTCCGGAATAACACATGGCCTGCTCTGAGGACCATTGGATAACTCATCCACGTGTACTGTATACTGTCATAGGAGTCATCGTTACGAAAGTAACGATGCGGAATGGTTTAAATTCATCAGCAACCAGAGAAAAACACTGGGAGCGTTGGCCACTCCCCGGGCCGAATACCTTACCCGGTGGGAGATCTCCCCTTTTCCTTCCACGGCCACACATTATTAAGTTAAATAAAATATTAATTGATATTTGTATACGTTTATACTGTCAATGTCTCAGAGTAAGAACAGACATGTTGTGTATATTATTACTCTGAAGTTAATGTCATACACTTAATAGTATGTGGTCAAATAATTGCACAGAATAGATATTGACGCTAAGAATTTTAAAATGTTACCAACAAATAATTTCTGGTAGAATGAGTAAATGCCTTATAAAGTGGGATCCACCTTCTAAAAACATAAAAATTTAAATAATAATATTTAAACATAAAAATTTTATGAATTACTATCGAATTTCTAAATTATATTGAAAACAATCACAATTAGAAGTCATGGTTTTACAACATTTGAGAATCACGATCGATAACATATAACAGAAATTGATGATTCTGTTACTTGTACGAATCCCGGAAGTATATGTGTCCTACAAATAATTATTAAAGTTCTGGAAGTTTTTCCATATACAATATATGTTTTTAGAATGACTGCTGGCCTTAATAAAATCCCCAACTCTGTTTCATAACCAATTACTATAGATATGAAATGAAATTTAGTTTACTACCGTTTCCTCCTGCGGAGAATTCTCCGGCCTCAGAAGAAACAGTGAAAAAAACTCTATTGTTATCATTCCTTTATTTATTAAATCAATGTGACAATTTTTATTATAAATGAAGGGTATACATGTGTAATTCTAGTTGAATCATGACCGTGTCTTGGCGAAGTAGAAATATCCACTACACAATATGGACGACATGGCGACGAAGAGAAACAAACTGACTGAAAAGGACAGGAACGCCTTACGAACCCACTTGCGAGGCCACCTATGAAAATTATTCTCAATATTATCTTTGAGGGTGGCCTACGTTTAGCAATGAACTTTTGATAGTCTGTAACGATATAATAGTAAAGACAATAGATAAATTAAAAAATATGATAAAAGCCTTCAATGCTAAGAATGGGTTTACGTGGTAGAGCCATGCTGCAGTTATATTAGTAGTATAGTTGTAGCACGAACTCGTCTCGACCGGGGAGGGATTACGCTCTCACAGAATACCAGCATGAAATAGTAGCATAGTGCTGCTGTGTGTCGTGTGGTGAGTGTACCGGATGGTGAGTAACCGGAGACCCTTTTTACTGTGAAACGCGGCATTCCACCTAAGGCCTCACAGGTGACAACGCATCTGCATTTTGATTCGTAATCGAGGATAGATGTAGATGTCTATGGGCCACGGCAACCACTTACCATCAGGTGGACTGGGTGCTCCTTTGTCACCATATCCTATAAAAAAAACCCGAGAATAGCCCTCTCCATAGCTCGCTAAGAACTTCCTCATGGGGCGGCCGGCCACTAGATGGAGCGACGGCCTAACAAGGTATGCAGGAAGTCAATGGATGCAGGTGGCTCAGAACTGTGCTTCGTGGCATTCGTTAGGGGAGGGCTATGTTCAGCAGAGGACTTGTTGAAGGGTGTAAGGATGATGATGAATTACTCTACGTAGTATGTGAGTGTAGAGAACCGAAAACCCTTTTTACTGAAAACGAAGCATCTAATAAGCAAAAACGCATCTACTATTTTATTCGTAATCGGGAATAAATGTAGATCTCTATGGGTCACAGCATCCACTTTCGATCTAATGGACTGTGTACTCGTTTGTCACCCTTACTGTACTAAAAGAGTTCTATTTGATAAAACATACCAATATCCGGCACTGTAAAGTCATCACTGGACCAGTATTCATGATAGGACTTATCCTGGAAACTGAACTGGACCCGCCTTTTACTCGTATGGCAGTGATCACAGAGTCTGCAATAAAAAATGTTTTATCTGCTAACCGTCCGTGTAATCGTTAATACGTGGTAGAGCCAAGCTGCAGTTATATTTATGCCCTTTCAACCGGAAACGAGGCACGAGGTGACGGCGATTCTTAATCTGTTGTGTGAAATTGATTCTTAATCGAGGAAAAATATAGATGTCTTCGGGCCACACCATCCACTTACCGCCAAGTGAATTGTGTGTATTGCTCGATTATCAACCCTATTTTATTTAAAAAAAAATTCTTCATATTCGTCGGTACGATCTGTAGTTAAAGTTACACCCTATATACATCCCACTGCTGGGAACAGTCCTCCTCTCATTTCTGAGAGGGTTTTATGGCAAGGAAGTGTCCGCTGCGCTGCCCCAATGCGTGTTGACGAACTTCACTCGTCTTCATAATATTTTTTTTATTTCTCAAGACATGTAGGTTTACTCACGATGTTTTCTTTTACCGCCGAGCACATGGTAAACAGCACTTTAAATTGTAATTAATAGTTTCGTTGGTGCCGGCGGGAATCGAACCCGGTTTGAGCTCGTACAGTGAAATTTACAGCGAGCGCTAACCATCTGAGCTAACACGGCTCCCCGTATATCCGTATATATATTCATATATATGTTCATCCTTATATACCCGTATAACATATATTCTTAGATCGCCACTACTCGGTAACTATATAGTTAGCGTGTAGTGGCGGTCAAAGAATATCCACTACTACACCCCATATAATTCCATGGGTTTTATAAGAGGCGACAGAGAGAAACTGAAAAGAAGATGGCCAGCAGCATCTTCCTGACATCTCTAAATTATAAAAACTGCGATTGCCAACCTAGCAGTATCATGCGTGACAAAAAGTAAACTTTATTGACTTTAACGTTAAAAGTTACAGTTTATATTGTAAAAATTAATATTTGTTTATTTGTTTGTTCGTCTTCTATGCGTTTCTAATTCATTACGATTGAACTTTTATGAGTTATCAAAAGTTTCTAACATTAGGCACAGCACAGCAGTCTTAAATATAATTGTGGTGTAAAATAATTAACTACACCTCATTTCAAAATAAACTGTAATTAAAACTCTTTGAGAATTTTATTAAAGTTGCCTTGAAAATTTCACATAATTTATGCTCGTCATATGATGATGATGATACCGTAAGGCGAAACCGTTCGGTTTTTATAGGATAGTAAATTAATAATTTAAAATAAGAGCAGACAAATTTAAATTAGAAACAGAAACAGTAACAGAAAAGGAAACAGTAACAGAAACAGCAACAGAAACGGAAACAGAAACAGAAACAGCAACAGCAACAGAAACGGAAACAGAAACAGAAACAGCAACAGAAACAGAAACGGAAACAGAAACAACAACAGCAACAGAAACGGAAACAGAAACAGCAACAGCAACAGAAACGGAAACAGAAACAGCAACAGCAACAGAAACGGAAACAGTAACAGAAACAGCAACAGAAACAGAAACGGAAACAGAAACAGCAACAGCAACAAAAACGGAAACAGAAACAGCAACAGAAACAGAAACGGAAACAGTAACAGAAACAGCAACAGAAACAGAAACGGAAACAGTAACAGAAACAGCAACAGAAACAGAAACGGAAACAGAAAAAGAAATGGAAATGGAAATAGAAAGTATAGGTTATTTTTTTAAATGGTTAAATGTATATGATAACATCGGGAATGTATTTTAAACATATATAACTCTCACTTCATCTTGCCCAATAAATCCAGGGGCAGGTTGGACGGATTTAGTTCAGTTCCAATCAGCGCCACTCGGAGGTCCTTCACGTCAGGCTTCAGATGAAGAAAGAACACTTCCCACTTGTTGAGAGAGTCCGCTTCGAACTGGAGATCTGCTCCGACAGCGTGAATGGTGAAAGTTGATCTCTGAAAACGTACATGTATTTTTTAAACTGAACCGCAAAGTACTTCTTTTAAAAATAAATTTAAGTGTTAAAATAAGTTAAAGCTGTATACGTATATATATATATATATATATATATATATATATATATATATATATATATATATATGCTGCTGCTATATATAGTTGTGTCACGAATGGATCAGCTCGAGCCGGGAAGAACTACGCTACCACAGAATACCAGCGTCAGATAGCAGCTTAATGCTAATGTGTTTCGTATAGGTAAGTGTAGAGACCCTTTATACTGAAAACGAGACTTTCCATCTTAATCCTCAAGAGTGACAACGCGTCTGTATGTGAATTCCGAATCGAGGATAGATGTACATATCTATGGGCCACAGCATTCACTTATCATTACGTGAACGGTGTGCTCGTTGGTCATCCATATATATCTTAGAAATAAAAACATAACATACACGGTAAACGACAAAAGACCTATCAATTTAACGTCACAATTATCATATTTCTGTAAGAGTTACCTTATTAACTCCATTGGAGTAGTTGACCGCCTGGCGATAAATCTGGTGGCAGTAGGCAGCAGTGAGCGGTGCTGTCGCAAGTTGAGTCAGCGCTGCGTACTGGATGTCTGACATATCTGATGATTCAAATGTTGATTTTTATTTATATTTACATTTAATAATTATCCGAAAAGTTCACTGCTAAATATAGCCTAAACAGCAATAACGTGTACCAAATTAAGAGAAGATTTTCAAAAACAGTTTATACGTGGTAGAATAGCAATATTATAAGTCACACGAATGGGTCAGCAGGACCGGTGTAGGACTACGATCTCACAGAATACCAGGGCAAAATAGCAGGTTAACGCTGATGTGTTTAGTATGGTAAGTGTAGAGAATCAGAGACCCTTTTTTCTGGAAATAAAGCATTCTGTCTTAATCTTTGGGGGCACGAAACACAATTACATATATTTTGATTCCAAATTGAAGACAGATCTAGATATCTATGGGCCACAGCATCCACATATTTATTATCCACTTCTTATTATCCAATAAACGAGTACACAGTCAACCTGATGGACCATCAGGTTGACTGTGTACTCGTTTATCACCATAATTAGGATTGGATATGTCTGATAAGTTAGCAAGTAATCTCACCAATTTTCTCATCATACATCGAAGCTAGAACTTCATTTATCTTCTCCGGGATAACGTAGTCGTCCATCATCACTTTGCCGGGCAACTTCGGCATCAGCCTCCCCTTCGACTGTTGATACAGCACCATCTTCTGATAGAGAGCGTAGGACTTGCACCAGCGCTGATGGTTCGGTGATAAATGTTCTGGATGTTCAATGCAGTATGATACCTAAAATTCGTTCTATTTTTAAGGGAATGAGCTCAAAGCCATATATGTAAACTCATTCAAAACTTTGAAGTTCAAATCTATAGATAATTTGAATTTTTTCCATTATCGTTATTATCATCATTATCACTATTACCATCACGGCTGGAAATTCGCTTCACTCATTCTAAAGAGTATTTGGCTCAATCTCCACGCTTGACAGATGGGTTGGTGAGCGAAGTACTAGACAACATAAACCCTTACCTCTGCTCTCGGAGCCGTGGTAGCTCATATGATTAGCGCTCGCTGTAAAAATCAAAGTACCCGGGTTCAGAACCGCCGGCACCAATAAAATTTTGGTTGCAATTTTCAGTGCTGATTTACCATGTGATCGGAGGTGAAGGAAAACATCGTGAGGAAACCTACTAGAAAAGACTACTAGAATAGAATACGTAGCAGAGCCACGTTGCAGCTATATTATGGTTTAGCGCGAATGGGTCGGCTCGACCGGGGAAAGACCACGCTCTCACAGAATACCAGCGTAAAATAGCAGCTTATACTGCTGTGTTTCGTATGGTGAGTGTAGAGATCCGGAGACCTTTATTTTTACGAGAAACTATGCATTCCATCTAGTCCTCACGGGTGCCAATGCATCTGCGTTTTGATTCTTAATCGAGGATAAATGTAGATCCCAGCATCCACTTACCATCAGGTGGACTGTGTGCTCGTTTGTCACCCTTATTCTATAAAAAAACCTGCATTTCTGAGAAATAAGAATAAAAATATTTCGAAGACATGTGAAGTTCGCCAATACGCGCAATAAATTGGGGCAGCGCGGGGGACATTGCCTTACTCTAAAACCCTCGGAATTGAAAGGTCTGTGCCCAGCAGTGGGACGTATATAAGCTGTTACTTCGCTTTACTTTGACTCTGCTCTCCGTCATTCGTAGAATATTTAATGTGTGATGTAACATATCAGCATACCACTATACTATCCATCGGAAACCATGGGATAGCCATGGTCGAATCGGCCTCAAGAATATTAATATTTGTACAATACATACTATAATATATTATCAAAGTTTGTAAAATACAAGCAACCAAAAAAATACTACAAAAAACGGCCATGAGCCACCTGCCTCCGCCCTAGCCCTAAACAACACTTACTGGTACGAAACTACCACTTTATTTTAAAAAAACTTTCTCCTGTATCGTGGGGGCAGTTTACATACAAAAACACAAGGACAAACATCCAGATCCGGAACAATTATTTCTCGGACACAAATACGTGTTCCATGCGGGATTCAAATAGCTAAGACATTACGACACGCAGACGTTAAAAAAAACTCGTGAATCTTTTTTGTCATAAGTTGTTAGTTGTCAGAGATATATGGGTTATTGCCTCTTCAGCTTACTAATCCTTTGGCTATATTTTGTATATTAACAAACAGTCACATTTATTTATTTTTCTGAATTGCTATACCTACGTCAAATTTTCGTCACTTCGTGGATTAGAGAATTGTTGGAGAATGTTTAAAGGCCTTTTTACCCTTTTTTAAAAAGGTGAAAAAAAAAGATAATTATAATAAAAACAAACAGCCCGTTGTCTTACCTGACCACATCCCTCGCAGTCCTTTAGTTTTGATTGCCTCCATTCTCTGCACTGAACATCCGCACAGATCCTCGGGTATAGCAAAGCTTCCTGTTCCCAGGGTAAAAGTTTGCGTTTGAGTACCTTCTCGCAAGACAAAATCATCTGCATTCTTATTAAACGATAATTCTGTCCGGACATATTCTTTGCATCTGCGTAGATGTGTTTTTGATCTAAAAGTAACATTCTTATATCAAAAAAACATAACTGTTATAATAAGATATATTCTTGAATAATTTAAAAGATTTAAAAAAATAAATCAAAGAAAGAGAAAAAAGTACATAATAGTAACCTTTTAAATGGACTATTGTAGAAACTGCAAAACATAATGATTGGTGTCGGGGCCAGTCCTCATCCTTGTGCTTCTGGTTACAATAAAATACCAAGTTGCAAAACTTGCAAGGTAATCGTAGCTGCTTTAAATCTTTCCTACAAACGTGGCAAATGCTAGCAAGAAAAACTTTTCGGAAGCTGTATTTATATACGTATTCCTCTTTTTCATTAGTCACGTATGAAAATGATTCCATTTCGTTTTTATGTTTTGATATTTTAAATTTGGAATCTGTTTGCGATTGCTTAGACTTTTTAACTGAAACATTATCTAGTTCTATATCAACATCACCATCTTTTATTTTCACTTTGGCTTGTTTAGAATTGGGTGTTTTATTCTTTTCCTTTTTATAATCGGTTTTACTCGATGACACAGAAATTTCTGGATGGCCAAGTAAGTTTTTTGGCTCTGAAACAGGATTTTTTTGTGTTGCATCTTTCTCCACATCCTCTGATGGAGGTGTTATATTGATTTCTGGATTATTTAAAAACGATTCTTTTTGTAGTTGACCGTCTTGAGGATCATTATTTAATTCATTAGCAATTACTTCAAATTTTTTGTTGACGTCGACATCATCAACACTGGTTGACAATGCATCTTCGAAGTTTTCAATTGGTTCAAAATGCAACTCTGATGATATTGGTTGAATAGAACTGTCATTTTCACCAGAATCTTTTTGTTTGCCTGTTTCGTCAGAAGATTTCGGTTTTTCGTCACTTTTATTATCACTTTTTGTTTCTTGGGATTGTGTTTCGGTAGTAACATTTGCTGTCTGTGATATAGTTTCCGGTTCTCTTCTTCCTCTCTTTTTAGTTTTCACTTTACCTTTACGATCTTTTCGTGATGGACAAACAGGTGGTGTAACATGCTCAGTAGCTACTTCAGGCAAATTTTCAGCGACTAATTCGTTTCTCAGAAGAGATCTGACAGGTTCTTCTTCTACGTGAATAAACTTATTTTCAATTTCATTTAATCGATCTGCTAAAGGTTTGAATATATTGGTTGCCTCTACAGGTATATCCGATGTTGGTTTATTTATTTCATGTGTTTTTGTTTCCGGTACTTCATATGATTTCAATTTATTTTCACAATTTTGATTATCTTTTTCTATAGCGTTCAATTCTGCAAGCGATTTATCCAGGGACATTTTTAACTCCTCTAAATCTTGATTGACTTCCATCATTTTAGATTTTAAATCTGTTTTTTCTTCTTTATTTGGTATACTTTCCACCTCAGTTACAATTATACCAGTATCAACTATTATCGGAGTCGATACTGGCGTCTCTCCAGAATCCCGTATTATATTAGAAGTTAAAACGGGAATGCCCAATTTTATTTCATCTGATGAAGTTATTTCTCGTATATCCATGTTGTTATTATTATTATCATCTAATAACTGCTGACTGCTTGAACGAGGTATGTGAATAAAATCAGGAGTATTATCATAAAATTCATCCGAAATTGATTCGTGACTTATATCTTTTTGTATAAAAGTATCCTGCTTGTTTATAATGCTTTCATGTATCAGCTCAGTCTCACTTATAGTCTTGGCCACAATATCTTCCTTTTTATCTTTTGTAGCATTCGAAATCTCTTTTGACTGATAGTTTAATTCCTTACCAACATTATCTTCACCAAATTCCATTGTATTCGTTTTCTCCGGCTCCGTTTCAAATTTATAATCAGATTCCTGTTCTTTGTCTGATACTTGTTTGATATTATCTAAGAAATTAGCAGTTTCATCAGCTTTTTCTATTTCAAAAACATTTGGGGTGTTTCCCGCATCAATATCTCCAACGTTTTTAACAGAATATTCATTTTTTTCCGGATTTAGGCTTAATTGAGAGGATTCTGTCAACTGAACTGATGAGTCCTTAGTTCTATTTGTTGAACTTGGAGTCGATTTGCTTATGTTTTTCTCAAATAAAGTATTTTCAATATTCATTATCACTGAATCGCTTTCAGTTGTTACTGTATTGTCTTGATTATGCATACATATTTGCACAGGCGTAGCAATTATTACTTTCGATTTTGGTTCTTTTAAGATACTAGATTGCAAAGACGAGTGTGTTGTTGATTTTTCTTTATTTGTCTGTGCAACATCAAAAGTTTCGTCCTCATTTTTCATATCAGAAAGTATTTTGTTGACATTTTTAGGCTTTGGATGCTTTTTCTCTTTCTTTTTCTTTTTTTGGGTGTCAATGTCTACTTCTTTGTCAACATTTTTTTCGGACAAATCTTCTATCGTTGACTTTATTTCCGCATTTCCAGCAAATGTATCGACAACATTCTTAGCTATTTCTTGAATCGGCGTAGAATCTTCAATTCTATTTTCCAAATTAATATTATTGTTCTTTGTATTAACCAACTCATCAAAAGCAGCTGTGCAGGATATTTTATCCTCTGCTTTTTCTGATTTTTCAGAGTCGTGCCTGCGTTTCTTTTTCTTATTCTTTTTGTTTTTGATTTGAAATTTATCTTTGATTTCATCTTCTTTGTTTTCCATATTCAAGCTTTTCTCGGATGAAGAAAGCTCAACAGCACACTCTATATCTGTTAAAACTTCAACAGTCGATCCAATAGGATTTTTAACTTTATGTTTCTTTTTACGAGCGCTTGGTTGAACAGAACATGAGTCTAGCGTTGTGACATTAATTGGATTTGTTTCGGAAATAATTTCTTCATTTCCAATAATATCTGTTTTGTTATTATCTTCAGATTTATTGTTTTGGTCAACTTCGCGCGCAATTTGTTTTTTCTTCTTACCTTTATTTCTTTTTGGTTTAATTGGCAATTCCAAATTAACAGGAGTAACGTCAGCAACAGTTTCTTTAACATCATCTAATTTCTGGATGGTTTCTTCGTGTTTTAAGACAGTTAAAGTTTCATTAATTTCACCTATCTTTTCAACATTTTCCTCGTTCTTTAGATTAGATTCAATGTCTTTAACTAAGTCAGTATGCTCAATCTCTGGGGCCATTTTAGTGTTTTCTTGCATTGGCGCGGTAGCTAGGTTCAATTTCGCACGATTTTTACTTTTATGTTTTTTAGTATTCATTTTTAAATCGCGGGTTAGTAAATTCCCTGTATAATACAATTAGCGTTTACACCGCACAAAAAGTAACTGTGACCGTACTATGCTAAATACAGAGACTGTCTGACCGATTTAAGCGCATACGTTTATTTCTGTACACAAACTCATATGTTATTTCTCAAAATGTCATTTTTAAAGATACGAATACGAAATTCGACTTAATTCGATAGGCGTTAAGTTGTATTTTCAAAGTCGCATTTGTAAAGTGTGGTTGTTTTGTGTATGCTACGAGGAAGCATCGCTTGCCAAAAGCTCAAAAGTGCATTCACGTTATGACTTAGTTACGAGACTAAATATAAAACCAATATCTATCTTTAAATTATATTTAAAATGACATCACAAGTAATTGTTCTTTACTGCTTATATGAAAACTAATCTTAATAGCAGCATTTTATGTGGTAAAACCATGATGCAGCTGTATAATGATATAAATGGGTCGGCTCAACTGGACCGGATGGTGGTCGAAACCAGAGAACAACTCTCGCACAGAATACCAATTAAAATAGCAGCACAATTCCACTGTACTTAGCATGGTAAATGAAAGAAACCGGCGACCCTTTTAATGGTTACCTGATATTTCATCTTAGTTCACAGAGGCGACAACGCATGTGCATTTGGAGTCTTAATATAGGATAGATACAGATGTTTATGAGCCACAGCATCCACTTACCATCAAGTGAAGTGTGTGCCCGTTTATCACCCTTCATCATTATTATTATCATTACAGTCCCTCACGAGTTCACTGCTGAACATAGGCTTCCCCCAAGGTATGCCACAAAGCACGGTCCTGAGCCAACTGTTTCCATCAACTTCCTGTGTGCCTTACCAGGGCGTCACTCCATCTAGTGGGGGGCCACCCTACACTTTGCCTACCGATACGAGGCTGCTACTCAAGAAACTTTTTACATCGGTTGTCGGATCCTCGAGCTTTTGCCGGCCTTTTGCCACTTCAGCTCACTAATTGGTTGGGCTCTTTCGGTTACACTGGTGAAAACCATCTGCGGATACACTCATTTCTAAGTTTATTACGTAGAGAAACCCTGAGCATACCCTCTCCATAGTTCGGTAAATGAGCTTGAGCTACCTCATTCGGTCAGCTGTTTCGGATCCATAAGTGCCGTGGCAACACGCACTTGTTGTACAATTTTGTTTTCAAGTTTTGAGGTGTACTTGACGAGAAGATGTGTCATAATCTAACGAACGCTGCCTAGTCGAATTGAATCCGTCGATTGACCTATAGGTCGAAGTTCGACTTAGCTAGCTGGTCGGGATTATTTTTCGCAGGTGAACATACTCGTCAACGACTTCGAGCTTAGTGCTCGCAAAAATTATTGGCATAAGTGTGACATGGACGTTGCACATGAGCTTTGTTTTACCCCATATCTTCTCGTGGGTGCCCTAAGAAGCGACAGAGGGAAACTAAGGCAGGAAATGGGCAGTAGCATCTTTCTAATAACAGCAAAATAAAGTAAAAAAAGTAAAGTTATAGCCTATATACGTCTCATTGCTGGGCACAGGCCTCCCCTCATTTCTGAGAGGATTTTAGGGCAAGGAAGTGTCCGCCGCACTGCCCCAATGCGTGTTGGCGAACTTCATATGTCTTCGAAATATTTTTTTTTCTTATTCCTCAGACATGCAGGTTTCCTCACGATATTTTCCTTCACCTCCGAGCACGTGGTAAATTAGCACTTAAAATTGCAATTAACGATTTCATTGGTGCCGGCGGGGATTGAACCCTGAGCTACCACGGCTTACAAAATAACTATAAAAACACCTACGATATTCAACCCTTTACAAAAAGACTGCCCACAGTCCCCGGTGGCCCTGCTACTCCTAGCTACGATGGCGAGCATGGTAATGACGAGGCATGGGGTGCGAAGAATCTCCGGTGGAAGTTCAGATGCTACCTAAAACGACTCGGCCTGGCAACGTAATGCCACCCTTACTTGTAAATAAATGGAAACCGTAAACAACAATACAATTTTAAGTGTTAAATCAAAATTGTCAAATAATCTAAAATGTTATCAGGGAGAATCCATCTGTCAAGCAATAAATAGCAGACAGATATCTAATTTTGACAATGCTGTCTTTAACACAATCCGTGTAACAAAGATGCTCTGAGATAATCCATATAAATCATTCAAACACGCGGACAGTCGAGCTAAAAGTCGTTTTTTATATGACTTTTTCAATTTTATACATAAAGTAAGCAATTTTAACACTTATTCAAGGATAATAAAAAGTATTCTTGTACAAATGAAAAGTAAGAGTACAAAGTGGCCCTCGTTTTAAAATGCAAATGTAGGGTGGTAACACCCCTGACAAGCTAGTCAAGGAGCTTGAAAATTTTTAGCTAAATTTATTAGAAATCTTAAGTTGCAGATGACGACCTTTAATTCGACACATTGTGCGGCATTATACATCTAACTGCGATAATTGAAGCAAATGGAAGTTTAATTTGATGCTCTATAATTAACTGACTGCAGAATACTTTGATACATTGAAATATCAAGTAAATATAGGATAGGGGCCATGAAACTCAAGTAAAAATTGAAAAATAGTGGCGTTGTAAGAATATTCACTGCCCCATATCATCCTGTGAGTATCGTAGGACGCGATAGAGGGAAACAAACCATGAAAACGCAGCCCTCTAATAACTACTATAAAATAAATAGTAATTTATTTTATAGTGGTTATTAGGATTTATTATAAAATAAATAGTATTGATTTAAAACTAGTTATTTGCGGATTTTATCGCGTTTAATTACTGTAATTTATTTTTATTATTATCCCGACGTTTCGGATGCTTTACAGCGCCCATGGTCACGGGGGGGGACTGAGATATTTGACGTCCCAATGTCATAGTTAGTCCGGCTACCTTCAGTTTTTTTAATATTAATTTTTGGTCCGATTTACGCAAAACGAGCTTATAGTATCATGAAGTCTTGCAGTGGTATGCTTGGGTTTGGGTTTAATTTTGTTGATTATAGGATCCCAAGCAGATGGTAGCACCCAACCATCTTCTCTATTGAAATTTGGATGTTTTTTAATTTCAATAGCCTCGCGTATCATCCTTGGTAGGAATCGGTGTTCTTTTGCGAGAATTTGTGGTTTATCAAATCTAATGTAATGGTGGGGACGATCTTGAACATGTTCGCAGACTGCAGACTTCCGTATTTTAGTATAGTATTAGTATCATGAAGTCTGCAGTCTGCGAACATGTTCAAGATCGTCCCCACCATTACATTAGATTTGATAAACCACAAATTCTCGCAAAAGAACACCGATTCCTACCAAGGATGATACGCGAGGCTATTGAAATTAAAAAAACATCCAAATTTCAATAGAGAAGATGGTTGGGTGCTACCATCTGCTTGGGATCCTATAATCAACAAAATTAAACCCAAACCCAAGCATACCACTGCAAGACTTCATGATACTATAAGCTCGTTTTGCGTAAATCGGACCAAAAATTAATATTAAAAAACTGAAGGTAGCCGGACTAACTATGACATTGGGACGTCAAACATCTCAGTCCCCCCCCGTGACCATGGGCGCTGTAAAGCACCCGAAACGTCGGGATAATAATAAAAATAAATTAAAGTAATTAAACGCGATAAAATCCGCAAATAATAGTTTTATTCAATGTGTAGTGTTCGCGTAAATTTAAGAAATCATTACATAAATAGTAATTTATTTTATAGTAGTTATTAGGATTTATTATAAAATAAATAGTAATTTATTTTATAGTAGTTATTAGGATTTATTATAAAATAAATAGTAATTTATTTTATAGTAGTTATTAGGAAGACGCAGTAGCGGATGCCAACCCGTCTGCCAAGCGTGGCAACTATGGCAAATGTCTCCCCTATAAAACAATCCATGAGGGAAGCCTATGTAAAGTGATAGGCTATGATGATGCCATAATTTTTACTAGCTCCTACACTACACAGGATTGCAAGCCGCTTCCCCTTGCCGCAGCGTAAGGGGAGATAAAGACACAGCATAAACTAATTATAAGTGCGCGCACGCACGCCAAAACGGATATATAAATATTGAAAGGGACTTTCTCCATTACTATCAACTTTATTCGTATCTTATTCTGTGTGTAGCAAAAAATATAAAAATTGAAAAGATGACAGGGTTTATGAATCTTCCCTCCGAACGCAGGCCTCCTGTGATTTTTAAGAAGGCTACGATGCGGGAGCTGGTGGTAAAACAGTAGCTGAGCGGTGGTAATCAAGTACTATGAAGTTTAAGGCCAGAACGTATTTTATGACCTAATAAGGCAGTAAATAAAGACTAATAAAGCGTGGAAATATCCTATACAGGTGCACGATGTGTAAGACAACTAAATATGTTATTTTTTTATTATAGCAACACTTTCCTCAAGTCATTGCCAATACGATTTGAAATATACTAAGAATAGAATATTTATCAAATAAACTATAAAACGTCAAATATTTCGATTGAAAACGCATAAAGGAAGTAATAAAATAATGTTCAGAATTATTTAGGTACATTATATTTCTTTAGGTTTTATTTATAAACAAAAAAAAAACATTTCTATATTACTTTTCAAAAAAATTGGATGACCCTGCAGGCCATCCCTGGAACTTCCCGCTAATTTCAAATGCAAAGCGCTCCAAATTTCATCTAATTATGACGTTGAATATGAAATATCGGAGTAAATTTTTCGTTAACGGATATCTTACGAACGAATCAACGGATTTTGAAGGGATCGGCGGCGATCGACGTGGTTTTTCATGGGTTAAAAGCTGTTTAGTTTTTTGTAATCGATCGGTAAAGCCGTTTAAAAGTTATTTCGAAAAAACAGTTTATTAAATTTTCTATTTTTGAGATTTCTCAAAATCTACCGGTCCGAATCAGTTAAAATTCGTAGAAAATCAAGTTTGATGAAACACTTTGGATATCCGCTCAGTTCATTTCAGTCGGTCAAGCCG